GACGGACGCTAACGAGCCTAGAATATGGTCGGATGTCTTGCTGCTGCGATCTGGGGCGGCAGATATGGCCGCAGGGCAGCGATTACCTTCGGTTGCATTATCACAATCATAGGAGCGGCACTCCAGGCATCGAGCTATTCTGTTGCGCAGATCATTGTGGCTCGTATAATCACTGGCATTGGCAACGGAGTTAACACAGCGATCGTCCCAACTTGGGTGGCAGAAACTGCAAAAAGCGAACACCGTGGAAAGCTCATCGCCACTCAACTGACCACTGCCATCTTGGGCATCGTGGTAAGTAGCACCCACCGCTGGGATGGATGCATTTTTTGACGGACGTTCCGAGATCGCTTATTGGATCAACTATGGTTTCTTCCATCTCCACGGCCAGGTCGTTTGGCGGTTTCCCATTGCGTTTCAGATTGTCTTCGTGATGTTCACGCTAGCCGGTCTGCCCTTCTTACCAGAGAGTAAGTTTTCCCTACTCCCACTAAGTTCTTGTCAACAGGTCGGACATCGGTTGTATCGAAAACATTGCCAGGAATAAGACATTTGTCTCAGATTCCGTTCCAACTTCCAATAAAAGATACTAACTCGCTGGAAACAATAGGTCCACGTTACTTGTACTTCAAGGATCGTGTTGAAGAGGGCAATGTCGTGCTATCAGCCTTGAAAGCTCAACCTATCGAAAGTTCGATCGTGCAAGCCGAGGCAGCGGAGATTCTGACTGCGATCGAAATGGAGAACAGTCTGGGAAAAGCCAGTATCAAGGACATCTTCCTCAACCGGTCGGGTGATCAAATCCTGAAGAGGCTGATATTGGTCGTTGTGATTCAGGTGCTACAAGAGATGACTGGGGTGAGTCGATCTATCCTGACGTTCAAACTATGTGCTAACCAGGGAAGACACAAATCGTGGTCTACTACAGCTCTTCGATATTTATCACCTTGGGCATCGAAAATGGTCTGGCTCTCATCCTCGGCGGTATTGTCTCAATTGCCTTCCTCCTGGGATCGATCCTAGGCGTCATCCTCATCGACAGAATTGGCCGCAAGAAGTTACTAATCTCCGGCACCGTCCCCATGTTTGTGCTCTATATTTTGTACATGGTCATGGTTAAGAATGGCGGCAGAGCTCAGTTGTGGGTTGCGTTTGGTGCAACTTGTGCAATCATGTTCGCTTTCGGTTGGAGCTGGCTCTCAACGTATTTTTTTTTTGCTTTCCTGTGCTGTTGGACATCGCTGACCATCGTTCCAGAGCTTGGGTTTACGGTCCAGAATTGGTGCCAGTCCGATACCGACATGTCGGGGGTGCTTTGAACGGTACGTTCTTTGATTCTATTCCCCAGATCCTGCTGACTACCTTCATTCAGCATTTTCGAACTGGACCTTTGCCTTCGTTACAGGTAAGTTGACGTCCAACCTCAAGCGAGCCGGCGCTTACACCTATCCAGTCAAGATTGCGCCAATTGGAATCGCGAATCTAGGTTGGAAATTCTACATTATCTTCATCGTCATGACCTTCATCCAATTGCCGGTTGGTATGTAGATATCCATAAATGGTCGAACATAACTGACTTTTTCAGTCTGGCTGTTCTATCCTGAGACAAAAGGATTGTCTTTGGAAGAGATCGACGGACTGTTTGTCAAGGATGGAGAGGCAACTGAAATGCTCGCCGAAGCTAGTGAAAAGAGGCATCAGCTTGAAATCAAAGATACAGGTTATGCCCACGAAGAAGTATCGCCGTCGTCGTGATCGATACCATTCCACCGGGAAGTAGAGCTATACGCGAGCCGTTCAATATGAGATATGCAACTATGTGATCTCCCTGGCAAGATGAGGCCTAAACACGGGTTTTGTTAGGATATACTCTGATCTAGATGGTGCTCGCATTCGATGGAAAATAACCAGTTTAATTTTGCACTATAGTCAGCGATTGTGATCCCTTGCGTTTTTAGGCTGTTTAGGCCAACCCAGACTGCGAATTTAGGTTTGTTCCAGTGCTCTCAGGCCCCAGTAGGTTTGGAATGATAGGCGGCAAGTGCCTGACGGGCTAGATACGGGGGTGTGAACTTTGAGAAAGAAGCCGCTTGCCAACCCCTTCCACGCAACCTTTTCACTTGAAAAAAAAAAAAAAAAAGAATACAGGCCATTCTCAAATCAACTTGCCCTCTCTCTCTTCAACTCCCTTTGCACCCTCTCTTCTACTCGACTTTGGACTATATTTTTCGATGTCTATCAACGGCGGAACTCTCAATCGCAAGAGAGTATATGACTCGCCCTCGGCTTCAACGGTGAAGCTCGCGAAGAAGAGAATCCGATCAGAGCAAGCATGTAATCATTGCAGAGCTTTGCGGAGAAAGGTGCGTCATTTCGTCGCCTCTACCCTGGTCCAAATATTTACCGCTGAATTTGGCCCGAAAATGGTTTCGAGTGCAACGCTGTTGGAATTGTAGTCCGGGTCTCGGGTAGCTGCCAGGCTTGTGGCGACCTCGAAACGCAGCATAGACAAATCAACTAGCAAGTGGAGGAGGCTCTGAGCGAACAACATTAGAAAGTCCGGGCATGTTGAGATCGAAGCCTTGCTGACCGAGATACTAAAGTGCGACGCCCGCAGTCCATGCGGAGCTTGTCAAGACGAGAATCTCCATTGTACGTATGAGGGTGTGGCCCACCCTTCTGAACGATTGACACTTGCAAAAGCCGTCAAGTAAGTCGTCGCGAATTTATCGTTATGAGAGACACAATCTAGTTTCACCCCGCTTCTATTGCTCCCCATCCTCTGAACTGCGCCTACTAATGTAGCTGCAAGGAGGATTGCCTATCTCGAAGAACGCCTACGTTTATATGAAGGGTTTGGCTCGGCTACGGACAACGACGGCGCCGCCCTGCTGTACAGCACCGACGTGCTGGTGGGAACCGCTAACAAACCAGACGATGATATGGTTCGCGCGTTGCGAGGGATTAACCAACTGAGAACTGCACCGAGACATCCCGAATTCTACGGCGCCTCATCGGTCAATGTGATGATCGAGGCCGTCCAGAGGTCCGAGACCGATAAAAACGAAAATCAGGATCCAGGAAACGGCCCACCAGATATATATTCTCCCGAAAATAGGGCTCAGTTATGGTTAGACGGTGGCTCGACTTTGTCCTTCGGCAAAGCTTCCGGAGCGCTTCTACCTCCCGAGTCGGTCGCGAACGAATATATACATCGATACTTCCAGACTGCTCATCGCATTTTCCCAATTCTCAATCGAAAGCTGCTTGTCGACTCCTGCGCAGATTACTGGAATGGCCTGCCCACAGAGGGTAAGGGATACGAGTACTGGACTGCGGTCATGTATATGGCGATCGCTCTTGGGCATCAATATAGTCTGATTGATCCGGATGAAGACGTCCGGAAAAGGGCATTAGCTTCACCGCAACATGGAGAGGCATGTTTTCAACTTGCCAAGTCGACCCTGAGCGACGTGCCATTCATGGGAGGCGATATATCTGCTGTCAACAGTCTGTTGCTCGCATTTCTATGGCTGAGCAATGAGCACCGGCTTCATGAAGCATATACGGTGCTGGGTGTCGCATCACGTATTGGCTATGGCATTGGCCTCCACAGAGATTTGAGATTCGACCCCAAGCAAACAGAGCAAACACCCCATATTATCGGATGGTGCTCAAGTTTCTGGTGCTTATTTACGTACGAAAGAGAAATGGTGGCATTTCTAGGTCGCCCTTGTGCCGTCGAGGCTGGAGAGGTTGATATCAAGTCTTTCAACTTGGAGACATCCTCGGTCGACCTGCAGTACGTGGAACGAATGCGTCAATTTGCTTACGTGACTTGGGACGCCTACAACCACGTCTACTCCCTTTCATTCAAACACGCAAGCGTCACTGACCGTGGTGATGCACTTCGGAAGGCGGATAGAGCATATGAAATTTGGTTCAACAGTTGGTTCCATGACTGCACATGGGCGAAAGAGCCACATGGCCTAGTTGCGAGGCTCCGATTCCTTCACATGCGGCTGCTATTATATCGGGTTTTCCTCAATCTATTGGTTCAAAAGAGCAGAAGGAAGGAGGCGGTAGCGGAGGAATTACAGGAGCTGGCAACAACCTGCATCCATGTCGCCGCCGATATTGTTAGCCTTACGGTTCGGTCTGTCTACGTAGGAGTCCGGACCAGTGGAACCCTGCAAGGTGCCCTTTTTCATGCCATGGCATATCTGTGGAATGCCCTGGTAACTCTCCTCCTCTACGCAAGCTCTCGTTTTGCACAACAACGACTTGGACCAAAACTGAAAACCCCAATAAATATCGTCCAGGAGATAAAGAATGCAATGGAAGTTTTTGACTCTTACAAGGAAGCCGTCGCGTTCGCTCGGACAGCCTCGCAGAAGATCACAGCGCTCTTGGAGAAAATCGAACAAAATGAGACCAAGGCTTCCACAACTGCTTTGGCGCAGCGAGTAGCACCGCCTTCCACATCACCAGCATCACTCTTGGATTGGACTATTGGACCAGAGACGGACTTCCCACATTTCGACGCGTCTTTCAACGACTTCCAGACTTTCTTCAACATGGACTTGGACACGCCACTTTCTCAAAGCCAAAATCCGGACGAAGGACAAGTGCTGTGAATACGCACAGCGCTATGCAGGACCATGACGCTTGCGATTCGCAATTGTGGTCTGCAGTTAATGGTCATTCCTTGCCAACCACAGCCGACAAGCTTCAAGGAGCGCAAGGTGACATTTTGGGTTTGAGCCTATCAACATTTCAAAAGAGTCATCGCCCAAATTCTCGAAGAAATGCAATAAGCTAGCCCAGATAAAGTCTGCATAGCTGACAACTCTCCCCTGAAAATACGGTCCGGCAGGATTACTGACCAAGAGTTCTGTCACGCGCATGACTAGTGGTCCGGCTTCTTGATAAACCTGCGCTCCGCCTTTTTCGACCGCCACTTTATCCAGCTTTTGGCCTCCGAACCACTCCTCCCTAGTTCAATGCCAGTACCCCAAGCTTCCATCGCCGAGGACGCGGTTTGCATCCTTGGGAATGAAGTCCGGAGAGACAGTCTTTGCAATCCTGTTGACCAGATCTTCGATGTCAACCAAATAGGGATCTGCTGCTATGTTCAACGGTGGCTCTGGGTACAACTGCTCAAGACGCTCTGCAATCTTTCTTGAGTCCATAACCCATTCGCCGTCAGACATTTGAATGGTAGGGACTGTGTAGGGTATGCCGGCAGCATTCGGGGCAGACTGCAATCGAAGACGTGTTTCAGCAAATGTTCATGCTTTACCACAAGCACGACGCCGGGTGGAGCAATGGTCGCTCACTGTGGCTTGATCAGAGCCTCGACGTCAGGATACTCTACCCACACTGTCCGATAATTCAGTCGTTTGTAGTTCAGCAGCATTCGAGCTGGGGAACTTGTTAAGTTTATTTTCTAATGGGAGAGCGTTCTGGGGGCATTTCTCATTCTTCCATGGGTTGAGAGACCAACATCTTCGCGGTGCCCGAGTCGGCAGATCGTACAGGATGATCGGTTGGGACATGACAGGAGCATACGCAGTATCATGAACATGCGACGAGCAGCGCGTTGGAATGCATGGCAATTGTAGGTCTATGCCAGGCAATACCTAGGCTGTCAATTTGAAATCTCCCATCGCCGTTGGAGTGTTTCGACCACTGATGCGAAGCCGAACTCCAGAGGTACATAAACATCTTCTAGCTGACTAAAGCGAGCGTTCTGCGCTGGATTTACAAGCAGTCGGCACGGATCGTGCGTTGGAGCCACATGGATTAAAGTTTCAACCAAACACTAATGGAGAGATGGACGATACCTGTTTCACGCAAGCGCCCTGGCCCGCGTTTTCCTATTGATCTGACGAGTTGAACTGGCGGATCCAATAGACTCAAGGCATACATCATGCAACAGACCATGTCAGGGAAGAGCATCTTCTCAGGCTTGCCAGGCTATCCTACTGGTGGCACGGTTCGACATAGCACCACCGACACTACAGATACTACTGAATCGTGCTGGAGGGGCTTTGTCGAGGGAGGTTCCAGATGCTGGCGTAGACGTGTCACAATTTGTCATCATGAACGAAGCAGGACGAGTCGCAGCCGGTCCAGACTCCCATCTCGCTGGCTAAAGCATGCTAATTGTTCGTGGACGGCTTTGGTCTACCATTCTGTGGTAAACGGTTCGGTGGAACGAACGAAGACAATAATATATCGTCCCCTGAAGGGAACAATTACAGCCCAGATGGCTCTCGGCTGATGCAGCATTGACATTGGGACTGCGCGAAAGCCATGAACGGCCACCAGGAACCCAATGCAAAGCGCGCAATGGCGGATACAACGAGGCCGACGATCACATTGTACACGGCAGCGACTCCGAATGGCATCAAGATATCAATTGCGTTGGAAGTCTTGGGCCTGGTAAGTCGACTTCTCGTCCATTTTCAGCAAGGCGAATAGCAACCGGGTTGTAATATAGCCGCCCTCAAGCGATACCACTGGATGACGCGCAGGGTCCTTCAGTCTGCCCTCGGCTCCATTCCCTAGTTTGCTCTGTTATTCCTCATTGAGGTTGCGATACCATTAACCACCCTGACTGCAGCCATACAAAGTCCATCATCTCGACCTCTCCACCAACGCCCAAAAGGACTCGTGGTTCCTCGAAATCAACCCGAACGGTCGCATCCCGGTAATCACCGATACATTATCCGACGGTTCGCCCATTCGCGTCTTCGAGTCGGGATCAATTCTCCTCTACCTAGCGGAGCGATACGACACCGGGCTCAAAATCTCATACCAGAGCGGTTCACCGGAGTACTTCGAGACGATCAGCTGGGTGTTCTGGCAAAACGCCGGGCTGGGGCCGATGCAAGGCCAGGCGAACCACTTCCGACGATACGCGCCAGAGAAGGAGCGGCTGGGGTACAGTCTGAACCGATACCAAGCCGAGACGAGACGTCTGTATGGCGTTCTCGGAGCGCACCTCGGCAGGAAGAAGTCGCCGTTCCTGGTGGGCGACAAAGCCACGATTGCCGACTTCTCCGTCTTGAGTTGGACGCTGTTTGCAGACTGGGCGGGTGTGGATATCGATGAATTTCCACTGGTGAAGAGTTGGGAGGAGCGCGTGTGTACGGTTCCCGGGGTGATCAACGGAACAGAGGTGCCGAAGCCGACGTTGAACTTGAGGCACATGTCAGCCGGACAGAGGGAGGAGTATGCGAGAAAGGCAAGCAGTTGGATTGTTCAAGATGCAGATAAACAGTAATTGGTGCCGATAGGGATCATTTTTATTCTTGTCTATGCACCGAGAAGTGTGATTTTCCAAGAACTCTCTGTGACCCGTGCCGCGTACTCGCGACGGATGCCAATATGATGAAACGCGTGATGATCATTACCAACAGAAAAACTGGGCCACAAAAGAAGCACTGTCTAGCGCACCTTGGTGGCCGTCACCCAAGCTTCCATTTCCCTTGGCGTTGCCTGCTTGTTTAAAAAAAGGATATCCGAGAGGGGAGAGTCTTGGTCCCTGTCCTTCTGGACTATCGTGGCGGATCATGAAGGCACACAGGCCTGACAAAGTGCTGTGTGGAGAGCACAGCCGGCGGTGCATAAAGATTCGTGTGTTGCTATTCAGAGGATTGATTCTCTTACACCCTGTTCGCATAAAGCGGATGCGTAAAGCGGGGCGGCTTGAGAGAGTCTCTTGAGGCTGAGCTGATTGCGCGGATTAGATCAGCCTGTCGGGCTAGATTTCGGATCAAGGTAGAGGTCAACCGTTGGGTGCTTAGATCGTCCTGAAGCGCAGGATGGTTGCAGGGTGTAGCAGAGTATCTCCCGGTCAAGCTCTGTCTCATCAGGAGAATGTCCCAAGATTTGCAGTCGCGGGCGATCGCAAACCGCCTGAAACGCACGCTTCGATGCTTCAGTCCTGTCATTGACAAACATGCTATTGACAACGGATAGGGGGCGATTCACTGAGTGCATTTCAGGGTAATCCCTCTCCACGAACTCAGATATCAGGTCGAATAGGGGGTGAGGATTTTGTTGTCCACACACTTGCCGGTTGCGAAGGACAAAGTGGTACAGACATGGGGTGAGTAATATGTGTTCTTGCATCAGGAGAGGCCTAAATAAGTCGAACGCGATTCTTAACTTTGAAATGCTTCTGCAAGACGATCATGCCGCAGGAGGTTATATTCCTCGATGAATTGATGGTAGAATTTCCAAGGACCTTAGCCGCATGCGAGTCGGGGGTGGAGGCCAGTTAGAGTAATTAAAGACACAGTCATAGTAGATCCGACTAGAAGGTAGAGTCTTGTCCAGAAGTATTATTATCTCAGTCGAGACGATAATAGGGTCCACGTCGTCAGGATAGAAATCACGGTCCATTGTCCATGTGCGTCGAGTCATGTGACTCAGTGCGAAGGGCGGAGTTGTTTCGCACAAGGCTGGTCACTCTGCACGAGGCTGCGGCGCATATCTACCGCCGAGCTGCCACGTTCACAGCCGTTAGTCCCTGCGTCTCAGAATTCCCAATCACAATTGGACCTATAACAGTCGAGAATCTCTTGTAAATGGTTGCGTCGTAACAGCCATGTAAACAGGTAGCATAATAGATATAGCTAGGTCAGAGTACATAATAGTGTATGGAGATACAAGCATATGCAGATACATCATGCATGATCCATCTCTCCTCTGGACGGCCAGCGTCTCGCCTCGTCTGCCCCTAGACGAAATTTGGATGAAATTCCTTTTTGATGCTCTTGTGATGGACATCGCTAAGCCAATATATTTCTCGAAAAAAAAATCATAAAAAGGAAAAATAAAATAAAATAAAGGGGAGTGCTTAATAACACAATCATCTTGAAATGAGGAAAGGGAAAATATAGGCCACCAAGACCGCGAAGGGACAACATAAAGGGAGAAAATAGAAGGCCTAAGTCGGGATGATGTCCTTCGGCAGATAATGGCTGAGGATGGAAGGGCTCGCGCTAGAACTGCCGCACAGTCAAGGAATTTTGTATGAAAGCGGCGCGGAGACCGTCAATGAGGCGTCAAATGTTCGGACATCGACGTGAGCTCGTAGAATTTCAAGCGCTTATTCGAGGCATAAAGCACAGAGGGCGTCGATGTGATGGCGTCGACTGGTAGGTGTTCATTGTGCGCCTGGAGACAATGCCATTGTATTGAAGATTACTTTTGCGGCACGATTCTCCTCAAGATGCCTCGAGATCCGGCAGAGATGCAATGTGTCATATGTTCTATCAGTTCAGTGGTATGTGGCACGAGCCAGCACCTCTTGTAGAAGGCGGTCGACGACGCCAGTCCCGACGAAGGTAGAATCTCTGAAAGTCTCATACTCGAGCGCTTCACGAATTTCTGTCACTTTTTGCGCGTCCCACGAAAGTCGAAAAGTGCCGTCTGGATGCTTGGTGTCAACGTTCAGCGCGTTCCATTTGTCTCTGGTGGCATCTTGCGTGAGCAAGCTGCGAATGATGGTGGAGACGTTGATATCTCTCTTCTGAACATTGCCATGTTCGAAATGCCTCTTGTAGTGAGTGGCAAACTCTCCCACGTCTTTCTCCAAGTTGACACACAATCCGCAGGCCCAGTGTTTTCTTTCTCGGATGCGGGTCTCTTCGAGGCACTCCCCATTGCCCTCGCATTTACTGTGCCGAGTACTGTGGTGTCTCTTCCAAGTTGAGGGACGGTGTGTTTGAGGATAGTCACAATGCTTGCAGCTGAATGTGGAATTCCGGTCGTGGTTTGCCGTCAGATGCTTCGCAAGTTCCTTTGGGCTCAAAAAGTCTTTGGTGCAGCCATCTTCCGGGCAAGGACACTTGAACTTCCGAATCCGAATCCGATTTGTTGTTGGTTCATGTTCTGTTATGAATGAAGGTCGAATAAGAGTATCATGCCAAAACTGTCGTTCCCCTCCGCTCGGCAAGAGCAACTCGTCCACAACGCTTGTTGAGAGAGGCATTTCAAATCCAGCTTGTGCGGCAGGAGGAGCAGCGATCTGCGTGTCTGACTGCCGCTGCATACAAGGGGCAACACGTTCTGCAAAGTGTGGATCTGTTGCACAGAATTGGAGTTCTTCCTCGCGGGTCGCCAAATAGTCCGTGGAGGTGTGCTGAATGCATCCAATAGAAGCACGGAACATGTCATCTGGCGATGACAATTGTGAAGGCATAGGTGACATTTCGTTGACATATCCAAATCCGGGCCTGGAAGAATCGTGCATTGGAACTCCAAGATTTGCCGACAACCTTCGACTGGATCGATCGGAGATGAGGCTAGGCACTCGCGATGGAGGATAGGCATACGACTGTTGTGACAGTCTTGTGCTCATATTCTGAGGTAGAAGCTGAGAATTTCCGAAATTAAGAAGTCTGAACGCGGCACAGATATCACCTTCATCTGCGTCGGTAAGTAAATGTAACGCATTGAGATATTTGGTTTGCCGCAACTTGAAGATTTTGTTCAGGTCCAGATCGAGCTCAAGCAGATGTTGAATAGACTCAACTATAGC